AATTGTACTGATTCCTGTAGGAAAGCACACTTGCTTGGTTTGATTATGAAATCTTTTTTTTTTATTTTTTCTATCAATTTTTGTAAAGCTGTGTAGTGTTTTGCGAATGTTTTAGTAAAAATATACTTTGTTGTATTGTAATTGTAGGAATTTCTGGTTCATCACAACTGTAATCGTCTTTTCCAATCATTTACCAATCTGCCAAAGTACTTACACAAATAGAATCTTTTAAGTTCGTCCACAAATAGTCTTAACAAATGTAATTTCGGTAGAAATTAATCAACAAAACACCAGTTTTTCGTGTAATGAATATGTATTGAGTAAAATGAGCTTCTAGCTCTAAACAAGCTAGTTTAAACAACTAGCTGATGGTTAGAAATCCGAACTATGAACTGTTAATTTCGTAGTGTTTATATACTCTTTAAAGGGTTGATAGTTGACAAATTTCAATGTTCACAAAAACAAAAGTAACATTTTAAGACAAAGAAAAGTTCTAAATATGCTCATGTTTTTATTGTTTTCTACTCCTGAATAATAGTAGAATTTCGAAGGTTGGACAGTTGCATATGTTTAGATGTCATGAAAATGAAGGCCAGGGGGTCATGTTTCATGATCCCATTTTTTTTCACATAAGATTGGATAGTCAATAATTGGTAAAATGGTTCTTTTACAATTCTCAATTTTTTATCAACAAACAAATGCCCTGATTAAGTAATTGAAAGCCTTCCTGCTTATACCACAGAAAATGAAATGTAGGATGCATTAGATGAAGAATTCAATCCAGATCCTACGTTCTACAAAAAGGATATTGATAAATTAAGGCAGTTTAAAAAAGAAACTGTTCAAAGTTTTGTTAGAAGAATTAAAGAACTTGTGGAAAAATTCCTACCATTCAAATCTACTGAAATGGTCATTGTTCCTAAAAAGAGTTAGAGAAATTCAACTCCTGAGTATTTTTAAGAATGGTTTAAATGAAAGATTGTTAATTATGTTGAGAGAGATGGAAGAGTTAATTCTGTTTCACAATACATTAAATTGGCAAAAAGAGCTGAAATTTTCTTTGAAAACTCAAGAAAAGATGAAGAAATTAAATTTAAACAATTCAAAAAGAGATTTGATAACAATAACAGTTACACAAACCAAATTGAAAATAAATTTAAATCTTTTTCTCAAAATAGATATCAACCAAACCAAAGAATTAGAAATGGAAGGTATGAAGAAAGAGCAGTCTGTAACAGGCTTATTAATGCTGAACCTAATGATAGAGAAACAAATAAAGGAAAAATGGCAATTTTTAACTTTAAGAGAAGAAAAAGTTGCACACTTTAAAATATACATCGCAGGTTAAAGAGAGAGAAGATTTCCAATTTCGCATGAAAAACCATAATGAAAGAGAAATAATTGCATTATGTGATACTGGAGCATTAATGTCATTTATAATAGAAAAGGAAATTAAACTATTGGATCCAAGATTTATAAAGAATGAAACTTCTGGCCTACCAATAATTACTTCAGCAGATGGAAATATGCAAAAAGAAAGATCAAATTTGAATATTCAATTTTCTGGAAGAATTATGGAGCAAGAATTCTTTATGATGGAAAAGTTGGATATGGCAATAATACTTGGATGTGACTTCCTACGAAAGGGTGGAGCCATTATCACCTTTGCAATAAAACAAGTTTCATTCCCATTCTTCTATTTCATAGGAATTAGAATGGTGCAACTATAGAAATACTTCTATTTCGTAGTAATTTTAATGGTGGAACTTTAGAAAGACTTTTCTTTTGTAGAGTTAGATTTTAGTACTTAAGAAAAAACTCTTTTCTATAGGAAATAGACTGTTTGACCAGAAGAGATGGTGGCTACTTGGGAATTAACATGGAAAAGATGCATGTCAAAGCTGTTACATCTTATTCAATAGCATATGTTGAAGATGCAGGATTAGTTTGCAGTGGGGCATGTTGGCCAAATGGGCCTAATCTGAAGATTATATTTTATATGTGTGACATAACAGTCTTTCATATTTTTGTTACTTGAGACCATCAGATTTCAACTATGTAAGCTTTTGACAAATTAAACCCAAGCTTTGGCAAATGTATAAAAGGAAATGCATTTCCCCAGTTTGTCAGTTCAGTTCTTTAACCATTAACTTGTTGTTTAAACATACTTGTTTAGAACTAGAAACTAAGTTACTCAATACATATTCTTTGGACGAATTTCTCGTGTTTTGTTGAATTATTTCTACCGAAAGTACATTTGCTAAGACTATTTGTATAGGAACTTGAGAGGTTCTATTTGTGTGAGTACCTTGGTAATTTGATAAATGATTGGAAAGGACAGATACTGTTCTGAAGAAACAGCAATTCCTACAATTACAATACAACAAAGTACAAACAAATGCCCTGATTTACTCAACAATTCAAACTGATAGTCTGTTCCAAATATAAGAATCCTTTCATTCTTTTCACAGATGTCTTTCTTCAGAAAGTTGTTGGGTATGAAATCCATATTTAATTCAAAGTCATAATCTTTTGGTTCCATTGGTCTCTTCTTTTGTTTGGTTGAATTGGCCATCCTTTTTAAATATTTCGGGTTTGGTAGAAAATCAGTATTTTTCTTGTTATTAAAAAGAACTGTTTCTGCCAGCTTTCTTCCACTTGTAGTGAAGTCTTTTTGGCATAAGTTTTTCAGTTCCCTTTTTATTTCAACATCAACTTTTAGATCTTTCTTTCCTTCATGATTAGGCTGTTGACTTCCTTTAACAAAGGTACATTGTGGCCTTTTATAATCATTGTGTATGAAAATTTTGGGATGTGGTAGAAAACGGCCATAAATCTATGGTTTTACCCTAACCCTAACCCAGCCCTTGTTTTTGCCTAACCTTTTTGAATACCCCTAACCCTTAGATGGGACCCTCCTAAGAACATATCAACAGTTATCTAATTCCTCCTAACCATTTCCCAGGCTAAAATCTAACTTTCAAATATTTCATTTATGGCCGTTTTCGACCGGTCCCAAAATTTTGACACCTCTAATCATATGTTGATATTGCTCAATGTTGAATAAGAATGAAAGACCCTTTTCAATTCCAAGTTCAGCAGCGGTTAGTGGTCTGAGTGGATGAATGGAAAGGGGAGAATTGAATGGGAAACAGAAACTGAATTCACTGATTTTTTTTGTAATATATTCAGAGGGACATTTGATACCATTCCAAAAGCAGCTGAATATGAAATCGGATTGTTGATGTCCAGTATAATTTTAATCATATTGAGCATGATCATCCAAATATTTTGGTAAGTATTCACAAGTAAATCATTTCCATATTATACTATTTTTAAAGCTCCAATTCAACAACACTATTAACCTTGAAAATGAACATGTTGGCTAGATTATAAATAAAGCCGTTGTTCAAAAAATGAATACCTTAACCCTAACCTTAACCATTAGATAAGACCTCTTTAAGTAAAATCACAAGTTGCTGTTTTATTCTTGCTAATCATTTGTCCACCAAACATAATATAGTCTTGAAATATTTCTATTGTGAACATTTTCTGAGAATCTTGTTATTTATTCATAATAGAAAATATAGTCAGAATTGTCATAGGGTTTTGAGTTGATTGACCAGATTATTTATTAAATTAACAAAAGGACATTGGGATAATTGAAGTTTTTTCAATACACAGTGATATTAATTAGAGAGAGGTCTATCCCCATATGCTCATTGTTTTTAATTTAGGATTTAGGGTTAGGGTTAGGGTTAGAGAATAACACAATCTTTGTATATAGCTATATAGCTATATATATAGTAAAAATATTTTTTATTCCATGAAATGTCATTTTGCTGGAGAATTTTGTCCAGGTTTTAACATTTTCCACTTTTACTTTTCCAGTAGTTGTTATGTTAGTTGCTTAAAGATATCTGAGAATTTTTAGGTTGGAATAACTACTGATAAAGGTAACTGGAAAAAAAGCAAATATTGCAGTTGTGAAGCTTTTGTAATAGAACATTATCCAGTGTTCTCTAATGATTGTTGAAGCACAATAACTGTTATCGCTTACACCTGTGACATGCTCAATAACTGAAGTTACATTAACAAACAAAAATAATTACTCCTTTTAAATATTTAAAATAGATAGTTTAGTCAAGAATGAAACATTTGAGCAGTGTTGTATCTTTCTACATCATGTAGAATACTACCCAATATATCATTGAAGATGTGTAATGTGACTACAGACAAATTGTTATGATGACTGTAGTAAATTCTTTATGATGTTAAGCAGTGAGCTTTATTGATCTGTACTTATGGGCAAGTCATCTAAGCGTTAGCAGTAATAAACATGGTTAGAAAATGACAAGGGCTGGGTTACGATTAGGGTTAAGGATGCTTTTTGTCGCTCCCTTCGTTCATACATTCACAAATATTTAGTTCAATGCATACACCATTTCCATAACAATCTGATTGATTACAGGGTTAGGGTTGGTTAAAAGAAGAACAATTAACATGATTTTTTTAAGAATTGGCATGAAAACTGCCTGTAAATTTCAATAACACTGATAATTTTTAATTTTAAAAGATCTCCTTATCTACAACGGTTATACATTTGATGTTGGAATGATAAAGACAACCGTTGTACAACCTCTCCTGGACAAACATTAATTTATTCGTGTGATAAACTACTCTATAAACTAAACTTATGTTGTTTGCAATTAATTTTTTTTCTTGATATCTATTTTGCCTCTTTGTCGCTTGATTTTTTTTTGTTTTTGAGAAATCAAGCCTTCTTGAAGCTTTCCTGTCTAGTTTGGATACAATGGATTAGAATAGATAAACTCCTCAATCGATTTTATGCAAATGTAGCCATTGTACTCCTTACAATAAACTATGTAGACTAATCGCCAACATATCTTATTCATTTTGTACATTTCTAACGCACTGGTGCATATGTTGCAATTTATTAATAAATTTTCATATAATTTGGCAACAGATTGGTTATCTATTAAACATTGTTATTCTTGTGAGGATAAAAATAATATACAATATTTATGGATTTGTAAAACATTAATGTCTATATTCTTGCTATTTTCTTGGTATATAACAAACAATAGTTTGTGTTTTTCCGTTGACATTTATTGCTTTCGAAAAATATGGCAAAGGATGGGAAAGGTAAAGTGAAAACTTGGAGAAATTTCTGCAATGAAACAACATTTCATGGAATTAAAAATATTTTTGCTAAAGAATCCTCACTGTTTCGACGAATTGGATGGATTCTTATTGTGTTTGGAGCAATCTTTCTCTTCATTTTTCAAGTGGTTAAACGAGGTTTAGACTACAGCAAAAAAGAGGTAACAGATAGTGTTCAAGTGATATATGCAAAGAGTCTGCAATTTCCATCAGTTACAGTATGCAATCAAAACCAGTTCAGGTATGCATATTTAAATATTTGTAAGGAATATAATCTGGTTAGGTGTATTCGTTTAAAAGGATGAAAAGTACTGTAGAATTGGAAGTGTATAAATACTTTAACAACCTTTATAACACTAATACTAATGGAACTGCTTCGCACAATCAATACTTACCAAGGAACATGAATGACGATGCCAAATATGTTTACAACTATATTGGACACCAACAATCTGATTTCCTATTCAACTGCCATTGGAATGGTAAAGAATGTCCATCTCAATATATCGCACAAACTATTACTGAATTTGGTATATGTTTTACATTCAATTCTCCTCGCTCAAGTTATCCACTTCAACCTGTAACTGTTACCGAACCTGGAATGGAAAAAAGTCTCTCATTCCTCGTCAACATTGAACAGTACGAGCATATGCCAGGACCTCGTAATGATGCTGGAGTTAAGATATTGTTGCATGATGATTTTAAAAAGCCACTCATGTCTAATCTCGGTTTTGCGGTAGCCCCAGGAATGCACACGCTGGTTGGTATCAAGCGAATTGAATCGCAAAATCTTGGTGAACCTTATGGAGATTGTGTCAATTCGAAGTATAAATCTCATGCCGAATGCATAGATCATTGTCAGTTAAAAGCAGTTGCAACAATATGTAAATGTATTCCATTCATAGCAACTGCAATCCTGCAAAGTACAAACGATTACAATAGAAAATGTTCTTTATCCGAGAATCACGGATGTATTAGAAGATCACTAGAGAAATTAAAGAGTAATGAGAACAATTGTTCTTGTCACGTTCCGTGTCATCAAATTGTTTATGAACCAAATCTTTCATTTTCAGCTATATCTGGATTTACGGTTAATAAATTAATACTAAAGGACTCGGAAAGAATGTTAAAGTTGAGAGAAAAATATCTACAAGTATTAGAAATAGGTGAGAAGAATAGTAAAGAACTTTTTGATCTAAACAAACAATACATTACTGCATTTACGAAAGGAATGCGTCCATTTTTTCTAAAGTTCATAAATACTTTTGACGCATTCGAGATAAATAAAACGGGCGATGGAGAATCATTTGTATCAAGAATATTGGCAAAAATACGAAATGATTGCACAGATATCTTGCATAACGTTGAATTAATGGAAACAGCTCTACAGTCACCTAAAATTGTACACGTTTACAAAAGTTTCACCTATTTAATGCAAGTTGAAAATCATTTTAAGGGACAATTGTTTGGCCCATCTCCAGTAAATGAGAATAGAATTCTCGATGATTTCCATAGTTGTACGGATAATGTCAACAAAACGAATGGAACTTGGAGAGGTTGCGATGATTTTATGCAACATTTTCAATTTAGTTCTTTTAAAGTAGAGGAGGAAAATTTTCACCAATTTTGGGATAAAGCTATCAAATCAGTACAGAATTTAATTCATCATTTGAAATCTGTACAGAATTTACAAAATTATCACATAGATGAAATTGAGAGAATTTTTGGACTAGATATAAATGATACAAGATTACCATTTATGGAATATTGCAATCCAATCTACAATGATCTAATTACTCTAAGAGAAAATGATACTGATGTTGATACAAACGCTAAAATTAGATTTGTCCTGCAAACATATTTTAGAATAGAGAAAATTTTGAATAATGAAAATTTTCAATCTTATTGTTTATTGAATAGAAAGAAAGAGTTTTTTCAAAGAATATATCGATCAATTGAAGATATTGCAAGATATGGTGTATCTATTCATTGGTATATCAAAGGTGTTCAGAGAAATATAGAAAAAATTACTAAAATTCATCTAGATGCTATCGAAAAAATTCTAATGTTTGAATCTTATTTAGAAGTGAATTCTTCAGTAAAGAAACAAAATTTATCCGATCCTCTACTGTTGGAAGATTTTCTCAAGGATTTAAGGAGTTTGATAGGTTTTAGCGAAAATATGCCATTAGAATACAGAACATTTATTGGCAGAATTGACGAATTTGCTACATTATTTTTTTTTTTGGAAGAGAGATTTCTATCCTTAAGATGGCCTTTTCCTAAAAATGATGCACAAAATAAGACAATCAAATATAAAGATATAAATCAGTTCTATACCATATACAATGAAATGAAAGTCAAATATGACATTTATTTCTCTTGTTCAAAAGATGATTTACAACAGATAAAAGATTGGTACAGGTGTGTTATGATCATGGGAAATGCAGTGGCTAAACATACCCTTGACTATCCTATATCTTTCAATCAGAAACTCAGTGATATTCTCTCTAAGTACAACGATCTTCAGGAATTTATGTATACATTTCATAGAAATTCTTTTATAAATAAAGAATTTCTCTTGTAAGATTTTTACTTTCATAAGACATTTTCTTTCATTATTTCTAAACAAACAATTTTTTTAATATTCAACAGAAAAAATTTTGCAAAAGTGGATATTTTTTACAAAGAAATGAATTTCCAAAGAATTATTCAACATGAGAAATTTGGTTTTTTATCTTTCTTATCAGAAATTGGTGGATTTTTGGGTCTAGTTTTAGGTGCTTCCGTTATAACCTTGTTTGAATTTCTTGATTTTTTTGCTTACAAGGTAAACAAAACAAATGACAAATCTCTGTATGATTTTATAGTTAATTTAAAAATTGATGTCATTGAATTTCAGATTTCATATTCATTGTCTGCAAAAATGAGATAAAAAATGTAGAATTTTAAGGAAACCTTTTGGCTTTTTTTCTTAACAGAATGACTGGATTTTTTTGGTTATGACCTGACAATTAGATGTTTCGAATTATCAATGCAAACTAAGGTCTTTAGCCATCAATTATAGATGACAAATTACTATTCAAGGCTTTGAATTACAATAGAATTCTATAGAATTTAGTTATAAATTGTTCCTCTCACACAATCTCTGTACCATAATTCTTGAATCATATATTCTCCTAACATATTCCTTGATGTTTTTAGCCTAATAAAGCCAAAGATATGATATAATTATAGACATAATGGATGCTAATCTTATTAAATAATACAATAGTATTGGCAGAGGTGAAGTTTATAATGGTAAGTAGAAGGCTAGAAAATTTATTGCCTCTGTTCAGTTTATGGGTAATCGTTGCTTGGCAACAGCTAACTCATCTATCTCCCAACTAGTTTGTCAATACTAAAGTATTAGTGATGGAGCTAAATTTGCAAACATTACTTTTGAACAAATTGACTGAATCGAAGATTTGTTGATTTTCAGTAAAAGAAATCTCTTGAAGCTTCAATTAAACCAAACTAAGTCAGCACTATACCTGAACATAATCTAATACTAAATAAGCCTAGAGAATGATTTGAAAGAATGAAAATGCTAAAATTTCAAAATAAGTAAATTAAATGTTATTGTTAAAGGTTTTAAAAAATCAATTAATCTACTTCCCCTCCTCTATAGGGAAGAAAATTTCAGCTAAGCTAAAGATAGAGAAATATCTAATAAAGTAAAAATTTTTTATTAATATCTATTGATTTGGTGGCAAACAATCATTTTATTATTTAATTAGCAATTTTTCTGCCATTTTCACTATTTGATATTGATACCAAATCTCTCATAAAAATCATCAAAAGATGTTTGTAAATTTATTGTATTGATTCAAGACCTTGGTTCATCATTCGGTGGATTTATTGGTTTTCATAATATTCATGTAAAATTTTTGGCCATTTTTAGACTTTTGTATTCATATCTGGACAGCTAACTAAATATTTAATTTAATGTGTTTTTAGAAGACAAAAAACAAAAAGTGCTATATTATTGAATTATAAAATATAATTACAACCAATGCAGAAGACTAACTCATCTTTGCATTATATATTAAAAAAACTTTTTACAAAAAAAAGGCCTCAAACAACCTGAGAATAAGTCTTCATTGAAGTTTGTACAAGAATAGTAAATCTTTGCAGTGGGAAAAAGTTGAATGTCTTCTTTTCTAGTCAATTTATTAAATATAGCAAGCTGTATATTATTAACTTTTTTGTTAACAAGAAAAGAAAAATTTCTTCAATTGTAAACCCCTAGAGATTCTAGATATAGAGAGAACCACCAATTTCAACGAAATCTTCCCTCCATATCTGGAGCCCTGTACTAGGTGACAAATATTCGGAACATGGTTCATTTGTAGACCAATAAGCTCTTTTATGTCAATTCATTCTGCTACAGCTTATATGCTCAATGTAATCAAAGCTTTGTTTATCAATTTCTTTGTTCCAAAACTCCTTTGGTTATTAGATCATCTGGTCAAAAATCCAGTATTGGAGTAGCTTAAAGTTCATTAAGTTCAACTGGCCAGATGTTTAATATGCCTTTGTTTGCGACCACATAAATACAATAAGTCCAATTTATTTTTGATCCCAACGAATAGTTTAGTGTTACTCTTGACGAATATAGGAAAACATTAAATGAATTATTGCTTAGTCAAGGGTAGATGGCAATCAGGGATGACTTCTGATGCAGCACAGTACAATACTGGTTCAATACTAGTTATCTATTGTAGAATAGAACTGATGAATGTATATGAACATTATCAATCTCTACTAGATAAATAATCATTTCATTTCATCTTTAACTTATCTACCAAAATTACATTTGTTAAGACTATTTGTGTAGGACCTTGAAAGGTTCTATTTGTGTGAGTACTTTGGTAAGTTGATAAATGATTGGAAAGGACAAATACTGTTCAGAAGAAGCAGAAATTCCTACAATTACAATACAACAAAGTACAGGGAGTATTAAAAAAAGAATTGTTAATTTTTCATTCAAGGCTGAATGTCTGTCATTACAGATTACTGTCATTAAATAGTTATTGTTCTTCTACACATATGCAAGAACTTTTGTCACTATCGTCTGTATTTACCTGATAGCTCTCCATGTCTATCAATCTCGACTTCAATAGGCATTCCGTTGACCAATCTATTCCACTTAGCGATTTCAATTTGAGGAATGTTGCATTTCCAGACCTCCTTCTTTCCATATACAAGGTGAGAAAACAGCACTCTGAGCGGCATACTTATTATTTTGATCATGCCCAAAGGATCATAGACTTTAGCTATTAAGGCCAGTGCTTCTCTATATAGACATCTTTTTTTATTGTTAGGTCATCCAGCTTGCATACAAACATTTTCTCCGTCATTTTGTACTTCAATCCCAATATGCCTATATTGGACATCTACCCTGCTCTCTTGAGGTACTGCTTCCTTAGCTGCGTTACTGTTTATCACTATTTTTGTCAAGTAGAAGTAACCTGCAAGAGCTTTTAGCACCCTTTCTGTCACTTTCCTCAGCCTTTGTTTGTCATTTCCTGCCAGAACCAAATTTTCCAGAGCTAAAAATATCTTTATTGCAAGTATTTTTCATTCCTGATCATTTTTTTCTTTTCAAGATCTGGTAATTTTTCATTAGAATGTGATATTTTTCCAGGATAAAAGTTGTTCCCATGCTGGTTGATTGTTGTTCAATAATTTTTCAGAATATCTAGAATGTTGTCTTGCTTTAGTTTTCTTTAATATTGTAGCAGAAATTGTTAAAAGATAGTCAATCCTCTCCTTTTTGGATCATTTCCTTTAAGAAATGAATAATTCTCATGCTCACAATTGGATTTTGAAGAAGCTAAAAATTATACTTCCATCAAATTATTATGTTGATCTGGAAGATGTTGAACTACTATTTAACTCCAAAATATTGCCATTACTATCATTTTGACTGGCGTTTCCAAATTGATTTTCACAAACAAAGCATGCTCATTTGTGTTATTTGCTATATACAAATTTAGTCTTTGACCATTTTTCTGCACTAAGAGGTGCACTAGAAGGTAGCCTTTGCAGTGTAGCAGTGCATTTCTTTATTAATATATCACAACAAATGTTTCATAATATTAATTGATCTGTGAAAACATGTAAACATATATTTGTAAAAATAGTCATAAAATAGTTAAACAAACTTTTATATTCTAAACAATTCTTGTATATTTTAAATGAATGACAGCAAGGCTGACATTTTTTGTGAATTCCATACATTCTCTCCTTACAAATATAACATATTAGTGCCATAATCAATTTGGAATCTCTATTAATAATCAACTGCTAAATTTTAAAATATTATACAATTAATAAAAATGGCTGCTAAAAAAATCATGGGTAATTAATGACTCAATACTTTTAAAAACACATCCAACAACTTACCTATATTATCTCATGTACTTATTTGTATTGTAATTGTAGGAATTTCTACAATTACAGTATAGAATACTTAAACTGGATTAGAAATGTATTCATTTTCTCGTAAACAAATAGGAAGTGTAAGCCTCATTAAAGCAATATCATTACGAGAACTGTATTTACTATAAGGTTTATGAACATAAATCTGTTCAACAGGTACATTTACTTCATTAGTAAACATTTTAGAAGCACCAATGATAACATAGAAATTTTCGTGATCACTCTACAGAAAAACAAGTATTATTATGATATACAGTATATACAGTGTAGTCAATGAATGTATCGCCTAAGTTTGGCAAAGTGGTAAACTCTCTTTGACGTTATACATTACGTTAAGTTATTATTGTACATTTAAATTCTTATAGTTAAGACAATAACATTCCCTCTTCATCTTTCAACCGATGAATTACTACCTTTAATTACTTATTTAAATATTATTAGTATAACTTTATAGTATAAACCTTATAGTATCATTCATTATATTAGTAAGAGTCAGTCAACAGCTACATTTACAAATAATTTGTTTGTAAATTGATTTACTTGTCGGAATCTTAACAATGTGCTGCTGATAATACATATCTTGAATGGATTAGAACAGCTCCACAATATTGCAAAGGCAAGTTGAAAAGGATTGTGAAGAAACTAAAAGATAACAAGGAGAACGTGCCAGCAGCAAAGATTTTAAAGGACTTAGAGGTAGATGTGAGCCTTAAAACGATTCACAGGGAGCTGAAAAGACGAAATTTCAGGTGTAAGAGAATAAGGCATGAAACTGATCTCACATTCAGCAATTGGAAAAGAAGAAAACACTATTGTCTTAAAATGATCAGTGATAATCTAGACTGACCTAAATTAATTTTTAGTGATGAGGCTAGATTATCACTGGGTGAACCAGATGACTTCAAATGATAGTGAGAAAAACTGTAAGGTGACGAAAATAAGAGCAGGGGTGAGGTATTGGTTTGGGGATTGATAATATAATGAAAGCGTAATGTGAGTTTGGCAATGTGCCACACCTAGCTGATATGACCATCGACTACATATATTTTGTATGTGAATGTGATAGAAGTCGCCCAGAAATTGGCAGAACTTGCGTACCACCTATTGCAAAAGTAGGATCAACAATGCAGAGAACGAACAAGGTTTTAGACGGAAGGCTTTGGAATTTTTTGCAAAGAAATTGGAATAACCCTGTTGTCCTCTATGAGAAAACTTAGTCAAACATATTGTATATTATCCCTCAAAAATGCCCATAAATCAACAGAGCATTTAAGGTATTCGTATTTTATGAGAGGCGACTTTTGCAATAGGTAGTGGGCGACTTCTATCTATAATAAATATCTTTCTTTTCCATGTATCTGTTTTAAGAAAATGTCCTCTGAATTTCTTTTTCCACAAAAAGACAGAAAAGTCTACAAAAAATTATCAGCTTCCTATGAGTTAGATACTACAGTGCCAAAAAGGAAGTATACAGATTCTCCAGGAAAGGAAATGAAATTTTTGAGAAGACGATATAGGGAAGTAAAGCGGAAATGTACCAATTCTTTTTCAAGATTGAGGTGAGTACCAGATGATGTTAAGGTCAAACACAATGCTATGAGAGATATACGCGGACTGGGAAGAAAGAGACGACTTAGAATGCAAGCAACTAGAAGCAATACTAGTAGTCGCAAGCAAGTTCTATATAAATAACCAATTATGGTAAGACTGGGTTGACGAAATAGCAAGAGTGACGACAAAGCAAACATTAAGAGTAATGACGGAATTTGCGGATGCGAAAAGTCATAAACTGGAAAGAGTAATAAGCCAACAGCATAGGGCAAGTCAGCAAGAAAGAATAAAGGAATTCTTCGAAAACTGGACGCGCTGGAATATCCCAGGATCACTTTGGTCGATCAGAGGGCAATAACAGAAGTATTGTAAATTTAGTTGTGAAGATTGCAAGAAGATTTGTATGCCATTGATGCATTGTTGAAAAGTGGAAATAATCAATCTAATAGAAAATGCCAGAATAAGTAATGAATTTGAAATTATTTATTAGCGGTTTATCAATTGCTGTTATGTTCCTCCCAACAATTCATTTTCTATTCAAAATCTATAGCTTTTTGCAGGTTTACTGTTTATCTTGATTAAACATTAGATACATGCATAACCTTATTTGTTCAATGTAGAAAATCATCTTTCTTCAATTTGATTAATGCTCCTCCTGAAACTACTTCACTTCGAAAACGTCTATGGCCCAATTTCACCAACCTAAACAATAGTTTATCTTTGGCTTCAATATATCCTTCAATTTCAGATTGTGGACCCCTTTTTATCAAAACCAATTCTACTATATCTTTCGAGAGAACTTTTTTCTTTTCTTCGACAGCAACTGCAGGTAAATGACTTGTTAATTTGAAAGGTAAGAAAAAAGTATCCAGTTGAGACGATGACAACAGTCTGCCTCCTGCTTTTAAATTCATTTCTTCCCCAAAAGACATTTTTTTAATAGCTTCCCTAGATTCCTAACTGAATAAGAGATTGTGAATATGACCAGTTACTGATGACATTTCTCCAATGCAATAATGTTTAGGCGTACAAAATAATTTGGATGACGACTTATTTTTACTTTAAGTAAATCGCTGGAACCATTGACTAGTGAGGAATTATTGTATCTTCTGATTCTAGTTTGAATTCCCTCTTCGCTGCTCTTGGACATTTTGCTCCTGCTTCTGTTACACACAATCTAATTGAATATTCTCTTGACTTTGAATCTGGACTATAAAAGTAGCCGGAAGGACAGGTTTGAGGTTGATAAACATCATTATAGCAATGAAATAAATCCGATATTCAACTACATTGGAAACAGTGCAATTTTTGTTTGAACCGCATTCACATGTTTTTCGTGTTGATAGTCATGGACTATTAATAAATTACTATTTATTTAACTAACAAATAAGAATAAATATTGAAAGAAAACGTTTTTTTCATTGACAACACTTTTTTGTAGAGAATTCTATTTCCTGATGCCTGTTCTGTGTTGTTCATTGTTGCTAAACCTTAGGTTTGGACCCACCTAATTATTTAACAATTGTTTTAGTAAGGATCATCAGAAAACGGCCCCAAGTAGGGTATTTGAAGGCAACTTTTTGGGTTGAGAAATGGTTAGGACGAAAAAGGCATCTATTGATTTGTAGTTAGGAGGGTCATATCTAAGGGTTAGGGGAAATGGAAATGGTTAAGGATACATAAGGGATGGTCTAGGGTTATGGTAGAACCATGCTTTTGGGGCCATTTTCTGTGGCATCCATTTTAGTGTATACCCTAACTTAGTTCCAATCCAAAATAACAGTTGAATAATTTCTTTCATAATATTCATGGTTGAGAGAAAACAACACTCTAGGTTACAGTTTAGAATAAGATATTGGGCATTTTAAGGCTTGAAAATTTTTTAATTTTTAGTTCATGTGGAGCTGATAATTGAAAGTTTCGAAACATATATAAAATCTAGTGGAGAATATAATACTAATACAATAAAAAATCAAGGTCATTATAATTTAAGTATCAATACTATTTTATTTATTTTTTTTTTCTATTTCATCTAATTGGAGCATTAATTTTACATATAAATATAATAATTATCCCTAAAAACATGCAAATGATATTGAAATTCAAACAAAAATAGGACAGAGTCAATTTTCAAAAGTAACTTTAATACAACTAATATTCACGGTTTTGATATGGACCAAAAATGATTGTTGACACTGTTTTGATCCAATTATATCAGTTCTTAGTAATTTTTAAAATCTTCTTTGAATGTAAGACTATGTTTCCATAAAACTAAAGTAAACAAAAATTTATATCTGAGGAAAACTTCTACAAATGAGATATTGTAATATTAAGATTAGAGTAGAAAATTGTACTTTTAAGGTTCTTAATATCATCTTTATTTTGATCATTTAATAATGATCTTAGAGTACTGTCTGAATACTGTTCACTTATAATCTTCATTGTATATTGTGGAAGAATGTACATATTGTTTTTGAAAAAGAGTTATTGGTTTATTGATTAAAAAGATTATTATCGCCAGTGTATCCAATTTAATCCAATATCCACACAATAAATAACATTCGTTAAAATACATATCATTCAACAGATTTTTAATCAATAAACCAATAAAAATCAAAAGAGACAAATATCTACTCAACTCACTAAAAGAGTTTTCGATTGCGTAGTCATTTATTCTGATTATGTAATAGACAAAAATCAATATAAAAATCATATTTTCCTGAAGAGGTTTTCTTTCTAGGATGTATTCACTATTGCTTTCAAGTTTGAATTCTTAATCTTCTACGTATAACTTTTCAAATTCTCCATAATATCCATAACCTCCTTCACCGAATGCAATCAATAAGCCATAATTATCGTAATCATAATTAAAATTTTCCAATTGTAGGGAAATTTTCGATAGATTTGAACTGGAAATCAACAAATTTCTACCTGGTTGTTTAATAAATTCTTGTAACATATTTTGGATTTCAATTATTTTGAATTTCATAAGAAATTCTATTATTTTGAACCAAGTGCCTATTGGAATTGTTGAATATTCAGAATATGAACTAATTATGTGAGGATTGTTATTTTCATCATAAAATACCTAAGAAATTTGTGTATGTCTGTTTGATAATTGTTGGCAAACACTATCTGCTGTGTTAAAAAAGCAAACTTTCTCTTTTTTCTTCAAATCAATCATAGTCTCCTTGTTAAAACTTTTAGGCTGATATCCACGCCATAAATCATTCAATCTCTCATGTTTTCTTCCATCGTTTGCGATAAAAAACAGTTGAAAAGATCTCTTAACTAAATTTGAGTTGGTGTCATATATTTCTACCAAGCTATGAAAATCTATGACATAGCTAACATTCTGAATGTTTACACCTTCTTTATTCGTTTTGTCTAGAATTGTAGTGATGCTATTTCCAGGATTTACATATGTTATTAACGAATATTGATATAGAATTGCATAAAATACAAAGAAGAGGACAGAGTACAGCGCCATTTTGAAATGTAAAGAAAAAAATATATTTTATTACATAATAATCATTCATTCATGTTTATAGGAAGATAATTATTTTATATGTTGCAATCACTATGAAATTGCAAATATTTTTTCTACTTTTACTTTCGTTTTTCTTTAAGAAAACTGGTGAAGTATTATGGTGAAAGTGAATTTGAATTTAAAATTAAAACAATTTCTAGTATTAATAGAAATTTGTACCATAAAAAACAAAAAATCCAATTGTACTTTGTTGTATTGTAATTGTAGGAATTTCTGGTTCGTCACAACTGTAATCGTCCTTTCCAATCATTTACCAACTTGCCAAAGTACTGGTCCAAATAGAACCTTTAAAGTTCGTCCACAAATAGTCTAACAAAGGCAATTTTGGTAGAAATTAATTAACAAAACACGAGTATTTCGTCCAAAGAATATGTATTGAGTAAAATGAGCTTCTAGTTCTAAACAAGCTAGTTTAAACAACTAGCTGACGGTTAGAAAACTGAACTATCAACTGTTAATTTCGTAGGGTTTATATACTCTTTTAAGGGTTGATAGTTGACAAATTTCAATGTTCACAAAAACAAAAGTAACATTTGAAGACAAAGAAAAGTTGTAAATATGGTCATGTTTTTATTGTTTTCCTCTTCTAAATAATAGTTGAATTTCTCAGGTTGGAGAGTTGCATAAGATGTAACAATTTTAGTAGGACAAGTCCAACAATCAAGAAAACATGTAGATTGTATATTTGACCGTTTTTATATTCTACCTTAATAATGATATTCAATTGATTGAGTTAGTAAATTTAGCATCAGCATATAAGGAGGAAGTATATCTGATTAATGCATGTTAAAAAGAACAGTATTGTGTATACAATACTGTTGAATAGTGAATATAATCTAAACTTAGAATTTAAGCAAAATTGATAATTAATTGAACTAGTTTTAGTTCGAAATCATAAATGTATGGATTAATAAATTGTAATATTAATGCTAGGTTGCAAATAGCAAATATTCTTTATATAATTTAATAGGTTTTATTGCTGCATAATGTGTATGCACTGCCCTATGTGAAACTAGGTCACTACTGCTTATCTTTATCAGTGCTATCTGCATAGTACAATACTGGTTCAATACTACTTCTCTATTGTAGAATATAGCTGACGAATGTATGTGTACACCAATCGTGACAGCCCTGAGTAAGGTTTGTCATTGTTTTTGGTGTTTTAAAATAGAGGCAACATTTGCCTTTAATTTGACTGCCAATGAAAGGACCATTGCAGATATAGCATGTGTTTTCCATTATTGAAAGATTAGGATCTTTTTATCAAACCTTAGTAAATAATTATTTGTTATAGTGAATTTATGAGAAGAGTCAGAATTATTTCATGATATATATATATATATATACAAACATGGATAATATTATGACAAGCCTTACAATGTAAAAATAAAAAAAAGATAAAAAACACATTAAAATTGTCATATTTTTGGTTAGAATTTGACAATGATTTTATTATAAAAATACAAAGTCACATTAAAAAATAAATTATAACCTAGCTTTTAAAACAACAAAAAATAAATTTTCAACTTACCTCTAATGAGTTTTATTAGTACAATCTGTGTTTTGTTATTTATCATTCTATATATTATTAGCATCATTGTCAATTTAAATATTAATAAAAATAAGCATTGTTACAATTACAACTTTGAATATAAATGCACAGGTCAAAGTGTCTTAGACTGCAGACTGAATTGTCCTAGAAAGCAGACCAAATTGTCCTAAAACAGGCCAAACTGTCCCAGACCGAATTGTCCTGACCCCATATTTAAAAACTGATAATGTCATTAATTTTTGGACTGTTATGTATTTTTTAAAGTGGTAAAATGGTAAATATGGGTGTCAATAGTAATACTGTATAAGACTTTCAAAACATTCAATATTGATATTTCGTGCTTGTAGAGGTTTCTGCATAATTCAGTTGATATAGGCCTACTGTTCATGTTAAACTTTATGAAATTAAGCTTTAATTATTGAAATAAAATTCTTTTTCTATTGTGTTAATTTCAAATATTTTCATCAAAATTTTAAATAAATGTTGAATAATTCATTGATTATCAGTAATCAAAGTTTTATTAGGTGTTATACATGAAATTTTAAGCATGTTTATTCCTTTTTCATATTTATCATTCCAGCATCATCATCCAAATATGATTAATCTTTTTAGAGTTGTTGAATTTTTTCATTTAAAAGTTATATTACTTCTTTATGGACAATTTTGTATTCAACATCAACAAAAACTGGTAAAAAGTAATATAAAAAAAATTCTTGGTCCTTATTAAACTTTTGAAATTTTAGGTGAAAAACTAATTATTGTTTCAACTATAAAATTCAATGCAACTTGTACAGCAAACTCTGTATATCCAAAAAGTCCATCAATCTATCATTGTGAGCAGGCTATGGAACCTACATGGATTAATGATTATGACTATGCTGGGATATGCCCTGCTGGAACTTGTCACAGTGAATGGATTGACATAGCCTTTTCATAATTGTATGATATTGTTGAAATTTGTTTCCAACAAATATTAGTTGAAGATATTAGAAAAATATATTCAATTGATCTCACAATTGGTAATGGCAACAATGTTGTTGTCAAATTGAATTTTTTTGAAACTTGCATTCTACTTGAAGAAGGAATTGGTGATAATCCACCTAAACTCAAAACTCAAATTAAAGAATATCCATCCACCCATGTAAATTCTGGGTTTCAAGCAATTTTAGCATTTGCGTATGAAGACAGTAATATAAAATTTCTCCTCTTTTTGAGTTCTATTCAATTATTTTTCTTTTTCTGTAGAAGATCTACTTAAAAGTGAAGATGAAGATATATATTTCAATATTGCTGATATTAATTTAGGAGCAACATGTACATCAACAGCCACAACTGCAGGATACGAATGCGAAACAGCACTTCGTCATGTATCCAACTATGTTTGGCTTGAGTGTTCTTCAATATCAGATTCTCGGGGTACTTGCATTGGTCATTATATTGATATACTATTTCCTTTTCCTGTTCAACCACAATTTTACTGCCTTTCTATTGGGTTAATGAGTTCTAATCACTATGTTTTTTATAGCTAAATAATAGCTTTATAAACAAATACAGATCTACAGTTTATATCAAAGTACTGGAAGTGAAATGGAGTTCTGGCAATGTAATACAATAAATCCTGTGGAGGACCGCTATAGACACTGTTATAATTATACATTTAGGCCTACAATTGAAAGTGGAGTAAGGGGAACTATTAAAGCTCTAGATTTAGATGCTGATGCTACCATGAAAGTGTTCCAAATGTATGTCCTAAGTAAGAAAAACATAGCAAACCTATTTAAATCTCTTCTAATAATTCAATAATCATTTTTTTAAAGAAAGAACAAGAAACATTTATACCATATCAGACAATCCTAATTGTCAAACAAACATTTATAATGGTGTACTTGATAATCTCATTGAAACTTGTACAGTTATTAAACACTTTCCAGTACAATTTCAATATAAATTAGCCAATTCAAAAGAGTTCTATTCAAGAACATCAAAGCATCATGTAATTCTTAAAAAAGTAATCAATTTAAAAGGAAATGTTGATGTTCAAGTCAGCTATGATACAAGAATCAATAGGAGAATCATGAGAAAATTTTGTACAATTGAAGAATTCAGTAACAATAGCAATTTGTTTATGGTATATTCATTCAACTGCAATCATTTTTCTCAAACTGCATCAAATATACTCTATATTTACATTGTTCTAGAGAATATCAGTGATAAAGTATTGTTTTGTGATATTCTTGTTTGATCATAGCAATTTTGAAAAAGGACAATGGAAAGCATTGCCAAAAAAAAGCTAGTTTGTATCACATGCTTGAATAGCTACTTTGTTAATTTGAGGAGTTTTGTCATCATGTAACACTAATAAATGGAAAGGTAGAAATTTATTTAAAAACATATGAAAATTCATATTTAAATAAATTGTATTGTTTAATCACACTCTTCTTCTTCTATGAGTTCATTCCTATCTAAATTTAATCTTTCTATTCCAGTAAAATTTTCAAATATATTTTCAATTGTTAATGAAGTTTTTGTATTAAAATTACAACCCCAATAATTTATAATTTTCAAAGAACTTTTTGAATTGCAAAGAGCTTTAGAAATATTCACTAATCCATTTCCAATGTTTAAATTACCTCCTAAATGAAGTTTTTCAAGTTTAGTACAAGATTGCAAAAGATTTAGTATCTGTTCACAATGATGTTGTTCCAATGAACACCAACTAAAATTCAAAGATTTTAAAGTGTTTGATGAATTGAGGAGTTGTTGACAAATAATAATTAATCCATTTCCAATTTTAGAATTATATCCACAATTAAATTCTTCAATACTGTGGCAAAATCTCAATAAATTTCCAATCCATAAACATTGTTTTTCATCTAAATTACAATGTTTACATTTCAAGTATTTTAAATTATTTGACGATTTTAAAAGTCCACCAAAAATATCTGACAATCCATTTTTTAAATTTTGATTAGATTTTAAATTAATTCTTTCAATATTACAACAATTTTGTAAAAGTTTGCCAATCATTTTACCATGATTTTCAATTAGACTACAACAAGCCAAGTTGATTGATTTTAATGTTTTTGATGATTTTAATAATCCTTCAAAAATATTATTTAATCCATTATTTAAATTTGTATTATTTCTTAAATTTATTGTTTCTATTGTGAAACAAGTTTGTAGTAAATCTCCTAAAATTTTACCTTGGTTTTCAGTTAAATTACAACAACTAAATTTTATATGTTTTAAATTATTTGGTGATTGACTGAGTCCTTTACAAATATATGAAAATCCTTCTTTCATCAACTTATTTCCTTCTAGTTTGATTGTCTCCATATTAGGACAATTTTTTAAAACATGTCCCACTTTTCTACACTGTTTTGTATTTAAATTACACCATCCCAGATTAATATTCTTAAGAGTGTGCAATGACAATGATGATGATGGAGATGATGGAAGAATACTTTCACAAATATCTAATAATCCATTTTCCATCTCATTATTCCCTTTTAGATTGATTATCTCTATTTTTGAACAATATTTCAGAAAAATTTTCATCATTCTACATTCTTTTTCATTCAAATTACATTCTTTAAAATTAATCTCTTTTAAGGTGTTTGATGATTGAACAAGTCCTTCACAAATATTCATATATCCATTTTCATAATTGTAATTGCCAATTAGCTCTATTTTTTCTATTTTGCAACAGCCTTTCATAAGATTTCCAATATTTTTACACTGAGTTTCGCTTAAATTACAATTTATGATACTGATTGATTTTAGAGTGTTAGATGATTTTAAAATTCCTTTAAAAATATTATTTAATCTCTTGTTCATCTTTTTAGGTAAAATATCAACGGAACAAATCTAACAATGTTTTTTGTGATAAAATATTTTAGCAGTAGCCATTTTAATCACGTGATACACCATGAATCATGTGATCAATATTGTTCAACATAAAAGGATGAATAACTTTATTAACTGCTTGGTTTTATCATACTTTGATACACTAGAACAACAAAGGTTTAATCTAATAAATTTTACTAATTGCTTTGTGTTTAAACTTAAGGTTTAATCAGTTAGCTTTGAAAAATAACTTGAAAGGTCCAATGATGATCAAATATGAAGAAATTTAGATAAAATGCAAGCCTGTCATTTCCTAGGAAGTACACAAATACTGTTCTGGTAAAAAGAGGTTGTTTTCTCCTAAGAAAATCTTTTATATCTATTTTTAATTCCTCCAAATTTCCACAATGGAATCCTCCGATATGGACCTTCAATCTTCCAAAAAGGTAATAGTCAGAGGGAGCCAAATCAGGGCTGTATGAGGGGTGAGGCACAATGGCCACCTTCAGCCTCTTATATGTACCACACTTCAAACAGTACAAATGCACATTAAATAGAATAGACTAAAGGCCTATATGGTAATTAATTGAATAATTATTGAACTTTATTCAAATAATATGTATTGATGCCTTAAAATCAATGCAGGATCATTTACCTTATGTTTCATTAAACTAAAAGATATCTATAGAGAATATTCTAAAATGAATTTAAAGATAAATATCATATTCTATATTTTAGAAAGCTTTTTATCTTTAAAGCTTTGTTTTATCTTGGAGTCAGAAAATATTTTAAGATCTGGTAGAGCTCATCAAACTTGTACAGAAGATGAGAATAGTTTAGCTTCATTTGCAATATCAGATGAACCAAGCTATGATTATTCCTCTACTACTTGTTCAGTAGACAGTCCCTCTTGGTATACTGTCTTGAAAGGTGTTTACAACATTAAAGAAATTTGTATTTTAAATATGGTTGAAACTGGTCAGACACTTTAGTTTTAACATAAAAACTGTAAATAGTCATCTCTTTCTTTTATTATTTAACAGATTCTCATTTATGGACGTTTTCTGTCGATCCTCTCAGGGTCTGTTAAACCTATTGTAGAAGATGATGACAATATGGAAATAGTTGAAAAATCAAAAGTTTTTATCAGTTATCAATGAGGTCATAAAAAGCAAGTTAAACTACTCTGTAAACAGTCGGAGGAAGCCGGGTGTGAAGCATAACCCTGGATATTGGATAGATGGGTGGTGATGACAGCTTATCCTGGAAAATAGACAACGGGATTAGATCAGCTCATTTTATTTCAGGTTGTATAAGTTTAAGATACATAAAATCGGCAAATTGTTGTCATGAAATTAATCTCTCAATCAATCTTGGAAAACCACTTGTTCCTTTGTTAATGGAAGAATTATCTTGGCCACCTAGCGGCCCTTCAGGCTTCAGTTTAACTGAGTATCTATATATTGATTTCTTTTGTGGAAAAATGATGGAAAATGACGTTAGAAACATTTTTTGACAAACAGAAAATTCCGTGAACTTTTAATGCAACTTCGTTTCTCCATAGCGTCCAACACGAACCTAATTTCAAAAGACCCTCCATACTTTGATTGAATATCCATTCTTCTTTTAAGATTGAACACCAATCATCTGAATCCTTAGTAGGAAATCAGGAGTTTGATAAAAGTTGTCCGATTATCTTTATTTCTTATCAATGGGATAGTCAATTGGAAATTAAATATCCGTATGAAAAACTGGGGAAAAATGAATTTAATTGTTAGCTAGATATCACGGAATAGGAGGAAACGGTTCCCGCTTTGATAAATTGAATTTGTTTCCTTAATATATGGATTGGCAGTTTGCCATGTTTTCCTCCAACCAGTTTTCTTGATCATAGTTTCAATATTGAGAAATGCGCCATTTCCTCCAGCTCTTAACTCTTCTAATTTGGTTTGATTTTCTAAAAGAATTCTAATTAAATCATTGTTGTTGTTCATTGTGAGACAGTTGGCCATGTTTACTCTCAATAGGGAATTGGATGAGGACTTTAGACAGTGAAATATATGTTCAAAGCTAGTTTGTAACCAATTCATACAGCTAAGGTCAATTTCTTGCAAACAGTGACATTTCTCTACAAGATTTCCGTACTGAATACCGTCTCTGACACTTGCACCGTAGAAATGTAAATGTAATACTTTAAGCGAATGAGTAGAAGATTGAAGTGAATTGAATATATCTACAGCTCCATTTTGTAATCTTTCAAAAGTAGCCAAGTGAATCTCTTGTAAATTGGAGCAAGTTTTCAAAAAATTTGCCAAACTTGAACATTTACTGTCGCATAAATTATAATTGAATAAGTTGATGACTGTTAAACAATGAGATGCAGAAGATAATCCTGAGATTATACTGTTAAATCCGGATTTAATGTTATTTTCGCTATAAAATCCAAAATACAATAATGAATGATAATTGTGCAAGACATTCCCCAAAGAGTTTTGAATTTAGTCTTCTAAAATCCATATTCTGTATTGAAATTTTCTCTAAATGGCTTGGACAATTTTTTAAACTATTTATAATTTCTTCAACTCCATCGTTTAGCAGTTTTAGATGGATACGAACAATTGAAAAAAATGAAAGTTGATGGAGAAAATACAGAATATATGATATCATTTGTTGAGCAACAATTGAAAGATATAACAGAATATATGGAACTGAATGGACAGAGAAATATAAGTGGCACCTATAATCCTGAATATAATCTGCAATATTCTTTTGGCAGTTCTTACAATAATAGAAATGTTTCTGAAAAGATATAGCGAATACAACGGAGGGAGGAGAGAATGTAAGCCATGGTTAAAGGTATTTCTAAGGTCTGAGAAATATATACAATTTATTTCCTCTTTACTACTCAAAGTGGTCTGAAAACTGGTTGGTTAGGGTTGAAGTAAAAAGGCAGTAAAAAGGTAAAATTGTCCACATTTTCTACAGCAAATTTCTTGATCCTTAAGCACTCTTAAAAACCTCTTGATCCTTTTGTTAGTTTATTTTATCAGAATGAACTAAGTCAAAGTTCTCTCAATTGAATCAATCACAAAACAATAAAGTATATAACCAATGTCTAAAATAATCATGTCATTTTAATTCTCTCAATTAACGGTCTTCAAAGTTAATAGAATGAGAAAACTTATTCTACTGTCTCATTTGTCATTTCTTTACAGTTTAACAAAGACTATTTGTTGAATTCTATTCTAATTGAACGCAGTGTCCAGAATGGTTATTTACACTCTTTACCGATTTCAAAATGGCTGCCACCTCTTTGGAAATTCTTTTAATAAAATATGTGGGAAAGAACTTACATTGTATGAGCGAAATGTGTAAAAAACACAATTATTGTATGCC